CTTTCAAACCAAACATAACCGAAGAGATTTAGCTCTGTTTTATCTGTAAATCTCTTTGACAGGGTTCCAAAGAAAAAGAGGGGAAAAAAAGGTTCTAATGTGCAACTGTGCAAGATTATAACGACTTGAAAGGTTCAAAGCCGCTTTAGATTGTACTTTAACAAAACCCATTGCTTAATCAAGTATCCATTGATTTCATTTAGGTAACTTTGGGAATTTGTTTTAAGGAGTTTGTTTGATGGTTTTGCCCAGGTCCTCTCAGCATTGGGAAGAATTGATGGATCTTCTTCAAAGTCTCTCAGTGCTGCTCCTGTTGTGTATAACCCACTTCAAAAAGCTCCAACCCAGAAGACAAGATTGCTTTCCGAGTTGAAGAAAAGAATGAAGCAATAGGACAACACCATCAACAACAATAACCGCAACTGACCTGGATAAGAATTCTTCCTTAGCTCAGTTTGAAAGGAATACAAATGCAACCTTGTATTTTGTATTATTTTATATGTATTTGCACTCTATAAATTTGCATTTATACTTATTCCAAAGTCAAAAAACTTCTACTCAAAAATGCAACAACTAATTATAGACCAAAAATCCATTTGAAATCCAAACCATCTGGCAGGGACTCAAGTTAATTACGGAGGCAAACCTCTTGGTAGGGTGTAGGGACTCAAAACGTTACTTATGGAGGGGGACAAGAACCGAATGTGTAGATCAGTCCTACATGGACTCTCCTAAATGCATTAGGATTACGGTTGCGTTGGACACGCATCCACATCTGTACTCCACACAAGGTTTGTAAAAACGAATCGGAAACAGAACCGGTTAGGGGACCGGTTTCCGGTTAAGCGGTTCAACCGTTCGGGTCGAACGGTTTGACCTGCAATGTTATAAATAAATTAAAAATAAAAATATATTTATAAATAATAAAAATAACATAAAATCAAATAAAAACAAAAAAATATAGAATTAATGATTTTGGGGAATTGATGACTTTGCTGATGATTCTTAACAAGGCCAGAGGAGTAATGCCGTTTTTCTTTCCATTTTACCTAGGGTGAATTTCTAGAATGAGGAGATTGACAAGTTCAAACTTTTTGGGAGAATTGATAACTTCCACTGATGATTCTTAACAAGGCCAAAGGAGAAATGCCGTTTTCCTTTTCATTTTACCTAAGGCGAATTTTTAGAATGAAGAGATTGACAAGTTCAAACTTTTTGATGAATTGATAACTTCAGTTGATGATTCTTAACAAGGCTAGAGGAGCAATGTCATTTTCCTTTTCATTTTACCTAGGGTGAATTTCTAGAATGAGGAGATGAGATCTTGATATGATTCTCTATGTATATATCTCAAGTTGAAGAGAAATAGGCTTCATTTTCTATTATCTTTATCTATCAATTGTAAGAAAGATAGGCTTCAGGTCTTTCACCGGTTCACTACCGCTAATGGTGGTGTGACGGTGGTGGGTTCGCCGCCGGTGGGCTCAGGCTTGGTTGTAGGTGATTGCCGCTGCAAACCTGCAACTATTACTGCTGCTAGAAAGTAGAAACCCCCACAAAATTGTTGCTGCAAAATCGTCGGCCGCCACTACAAATCGGTTGTCGGACCTGTTACTATCGCATCTGTTACTACTGGATGGTTGGACCTGCTGCAAAATCAATGCCACTGCTGTAGATGAAGTTCACCACCGTCGCCAGTCACCGTGAATCGCCGTCAGTCATTGTGTATCGCAGTCGGATGCCGTAGGTGTGGCTGCCACAGGTGGCCGGTTGGGTGTGAGGGCTGAGAGGAGGGAAGGGTTAGAACGAAAATGGGGTCATTCTAACCCTAACCATGTAAGATTTGGGGTCAGGGATATGGTAGTCATTTATTTTTTATTTTATTAAATCAGCGAAAATAAAAATTATAACCTGCGAACCGCTGTCTGGGTCGAATGGTTTAATGGTTCGACCGCCCGGGTCAGCGGTTTTCTGATTTTTTCAACATTTTTTAAGGAATTGCTGGTTTGTAGTATAACTGGACCTGGGAGACTGACCGGTTACCGTTTTCCGTTCCGACCGTCCGGGACGGTCCAGTTTTGAAAACCATGATCCAAAGGACTCGCCGCTGGCTGCTTCGCTCTGCTGGATGCGTCGGATCCTGTCGGATCAAATCCTGCACCATCTCGTATTCTCTCTGCAACAACACAAAAATGCCATAAAACACGAGCACAGAGGCAGAGCAGAATAGAACAAAACAGAACACGGAACCCATGAAATGAAATACATAGTGAAGAAACCCAACTTTTGCTTTTTAATACTCCTCTCCCTCTCCCTCTCTTCACATCTATCTATCTCTCTCTCTGCTTTATCTTTTCTGAAAATTCGAGTTTCCTTTCTCCTTTCTTTTTAATTTGTTTTGTGAGGATGGTTATTTAAATTATTATTTCGGGGGAGTGGGGGGACTTCGGTATATGAGTTCCAGAATGATTTCCCGATGAAATGGCTGTACTGATGATGGCTCATAATAACAGTAATTGCAGCAAGAACAATAACGACAACAACAAGGAAGAAAAACCAGTTTTCCTTTTCCATGATTTTCTACGCATAAACTGAAACCGCTGCTGATCCTGGTCAGAAAACACAGTGTTCGCGCCGGCGGTCCAACAAAGAGGCGAAGTAGTGGTTATCTTTTATTTCAGCAGCGGTTTGATCCATCCGCACCATCTCGTCGGGGTGGCTGGTGGTTTCAGGATCCCGTAGAGGAGAAGAGAAGGACTGCCGCCGCTGTTCAACGAAGGAGACGATGAACAGTTCATCGTCCGATAGTGGTTGATCCAAGGGAGTGCAGTACCTGATTTCAGCAGGTACCTAATACCTGTTCAGTACCTGATGTAGTTGATCTAGGGAGTGTAAATTTCAGCAGCAGTTTGATCTGGAAGGTGCAGGAGAGCTTGCTGGTCGGGGTGTTCGACGATCGTGGTTTCTGCGGGTAGGCGAGCATTCTCGAGAGAGGGAGAGAAGAGTTTCTAGATGTCCATTGCCTTGAGTAGTTGCGTACAGTGAAAAGCAGTATTATAACCGACCGTCGATTTTGATATCGTTGCGTATGTTGATTGCTCATTTTGAAAGCACAAGTTTTAGGATTCATTTGATAAAGAAAATCAGATGAAACTTAAGGGGTATTTGTGTCTTTTTATTATAACATTTAACAGTGAATTAACCTCCCAAAATAAAAATTATCGCATTTTAAAGTTGGGTACTAAATTAACACTATAACTATAAAAATTTTTTTCCCTTTTTTATCACCAAACCTATTTGACATAAACATACAACTAATCTCCAAGATGAAACAATTTTTTTTTTATCAAATCAAATGTCGTGGTAACGAAGACAACACTTTTGTAAATATATAATGCTACAATTCCAAAATATGAATTATTTTAATGTGTCTAAAAATCAATGTTTTCTTATCTTACCAAATCAGACTCTTGGACACGGGTTGGATTTTGACTCCTGTGTTGTGTCCATGTCCATAAATTTCATGTTTTCTTATCTTGCCAAATCAGACCCTTTGACACGCGTTGGATTTTGACTCCTAAATTAAGTCCGTGTCCATGAGTTTCATGTACTTGCCGAATCAGACTCTTAGAGATACGCGTTGGATTTTGACTCCTATGTTGTGTCCGTGTCCATGAACTCTCCATCAAACACTGGTGTTGATAAGAAGAGAAAATGTCAACAGAGGAAAATGGCTCACTTTCTTATTTTTGGGAATCCCATGGGAGCGGTTCACAATCAGGGGCACCCGCCAATATGGAATTAGAATCAGATGGCCGTGACCATGGTGACACAAGATAATCCTTCAAAAGAAAATAAACAAAAGAGAACGAACAGAGGAAAAGAACGAAAACTAGTGGAGAGGGAGGAAGAAGAAAGAACCAAGTGAAGAGAGATTGAAACTATATTGTTGAAATAAGGAATTACTTGAGGAGGGATTACCTAAGGCTACCGGATAACAGCCTGACTGAGACATATCCTCGGCCTTTGAAAGTTTAAAGGACTTGTAGGCTTTTGAGGCATCGGAGAAGAGTGGCAGGAAAAATAAAGGGCACTTCGGATCTTGCGTGTTTGGGCTCGAAGGGATTTTCTCTTTGAGTCCATCAATATTTTGACACGCCAAGAGGTGCTGAGTTGTATTAAACCTACAACCAGCTGAAAATGTAAAACCTTCGACCAAATAAAAATATTTTTTTTCTAAATAAAACTAAGTATAAAAACAGAGAGATGCATTTGGTGATGACGAGTTTTCTTCTCACCTTGCCCTCTTTTTTTCAAAACCTCCAAACTTTATCTTTCACCAGTGTGCGAGATCTGTCTGATGCTGCTTGTAACTTGTCCTATCTCTAGGGTAGCATTGTAGAATTTGCGTCTCTCTATAAAATGCATCTCTTTCTGGACAAGAGAGGCACAAACGAAATGGAGCTTGGGGAAAAGGCGTTAGTTCAGATTTGAGAATCTCCTTTCTTCTACTTCTTCATGGAAGCTTCAAACTGTGTATCACTCTGATTTGATACAGAGAGGAGAGAGCTCTGTACTGTGTTGTTTGTATGCTATGCAGTTAGTGTCTTGGTAGATGTTCTCTTCGATGGATACTGTGGATCTTGTGCGAACGCAGCATCATTCGATGCGAATGCAATGAGCGGCACTTTCCACACGAGATTTCCGACTACCATTTCTTTACTTATTTTTTTCAATTATTTCTTCTTTGATTGTTTGGACATTGGGCAACTATAACTAGTTGGAAATTTTGGGATTTTGGTATTTTAGTACGTGTAACGTTAGAAGAGAGGGGTTATGAAAGCTAGGGGTTATATGGAGGACAAGTAGATATGTAAGAATAGTAGTTTTTGTCCCGAAGGGTTGGAGTTGAAGGTATGATTTCTCTTAATTATAATTATTACTAATTAACCTGAGTTCTGCCTTATATAAAGAAATGTTAGATAAACAAATGTGTGTAATTAAAAGAAAAGTGATCACAGTAAAGTGTAAACTATAAAAAGCTGAAAAAAAAATTTAAAATGTCACAAGATCACAGGACAACCACATCATAGTTCCATTTTACCACTCGACAAAAACAGCAGACATGAAGACACACAGCAACATAAACTACGACAGGAAGTACCACCAGACCAGACGCACCACCACTACTCCTTTTATTCAAAAGAGGGCAGAGGCAGGATTCGTAACTACAGTCTACGACTCCCTAGGCCAAAACACCAGAACCCATAACCATAACCCAAGACTTCATACTACTTACTGTTCCTTAACTATTAAAATAGGACACTGCACACGGTACAATGTTCAAATCACTCTTCCTCAGTTTCCGACTCAGCGCTCTGAATCCACTCAATGAAGGGTTTCACATTCTTCCAAACCTGGGAATTCTTGTTGCTTCCTCCGAGGCCTTCCTCGTACCACTGGACTATCGACTCTTCCTCCAACACATCAGAATCATAGAGTGCCTTCAGAGCCAACGCAACTTCCTTCACTGCATCAGCACTAGCCTTTTGGCAGAACGCCTCAATTGCCCGCAGAAGCATCATTTGCGATCCCTCATCCTGTGTCGCAGCAGCAAGGTAATTCTTCTTCTTGGAGACCTCCTTAGCGAATCCTTTCTCAACACCTTCGAAGAGTGCCTCAAAGAGAGCCGTGATAACCTGCTGTGGGGAACCAGACAGTGACTTCAGGAAAGACTGCAGCTGGCTTACAGTGGTTCCTTTCTTCAGATTGCCTTTTATCTCCTCGACAAGCTTTTCATGAGAGCGAGCAGGTGAAGATTTCCCATCCTCTAGGGCCTTGGCCTCAGATTTCTGCTGCTCGGGTTCTGGGGTACCATTCTTGATAGCTTTCTTTGTTGACTTTGTGTCATTCTCTTCGGTGGAAAGCATGACCATACCAGCAGTAACCGCACTCAACTGTTCCTGGATACGCTGCCGTGCTGCCTCCAGGGAAGTGTCTGTCTGCCACTGGACATCATCATCATCGTCATCCGCTGCTTCATTTTCATCAGCCTGGCTTCTGGTGGGGGATGCACGATCTTCATCAGAGGTATTAGCCTTTTTCTTGGTTGAGGTGGCTTTTGAGGCCCCGTCCTTGGTGTTGACAGATGACTTCTTTTTCACCTCCTTCTTAAGCTTCTTCTGCTCCTCATCTGCAGCCTCCCCCTCCTTGAGACGCTCCTTCTCAGCCCTGCGCATTGCTTTCTTGTCCTTGGACCCCTTCTTTTGTTCAGGGGGATTCTTGAGGATGAAAGTCGTGAGTTTGTCCCTCATGTCTACATCTGAAACAAACCCACAGGCAGCACATTTAAGAGTAATCATCTGTGTCTTGGTGATGATTATTTCAGTCTCGGGGTTCCCACATCCATAGCATTGCACATATTTCTTGATGAAGTTCTCAAGAAGCCCTGCAAGTTTTGCGGTATCATGAGCACCATTCACAAGGGATACTCCAGTCTTCTCATCAAATTTGGACTGAGCTCCTAACTCGCAACCAAAATACTTTGTGGTATAAGAAGCAGGCCTAGCTAGAGCTTTCGCAATTTCTACCATGTTGACTACATTAGTCTTGATGCCATTTCCCCGACCTTCAATCTTGGTAATCATTTTGGGCATCTTGTACCTATAAAAGGCATCATCGCTGTTGGAAGCACCTATATTTTGCAAAGCCATCTTGATCTATCTCAGCACAGGACTTCTAGAATATAAAAATCAGGAGGAGAAGATACTAAAGTTAAAGATGGCAGAGGAAGCAACAATATTGTTGGCTAGAATGTTCCCTTGAAAACTCAAAGTCTGTTTCCTTGCAATTGGAAAAGGCTGCATCCAGCTGCAACCACGACTATGCTCTGAATCCTGTAATGGTCCGAGATGCATGCAGCCAACTGTCTCAGAAGTGCGTCTGAGCTTTTTTCTGGATGTAGGACAATACTCTCCAAGCAAACCAATAGATCCCAAATAAAGAGAGGCCGATTCAGACATAAAAGAAGTTGCAAACTTGACACCCTCCACTTTGACGATCTACAAATATAGCAGCTAAAACTGCCAACTTCAAATACATAAGAAAACAAAGAAATTAGAAACGAAATACAGATCAGAACAAAAGAACCTGGAACATCAGACAAGAGAACAGACAATTAAATTGAAATTAAAAGCAAAAAGAATAATAAAAAGATAATCAATAACCAATTCATATAGTCATCAGTCAGTAACCAAATTCACAAGTATCTACCATTTATTATTATCATCCTTTTAAGCCTATCTACCATTTAATGTTATTTGAGAAATTGCATAACGTGTCTATTTTGTTGTATGATAACCGCAAGAGGTGCGTCATCACCACAAGACATGTGCTCTACTCACTTGGCTTGTTGTTGTGTCCTGTTGCTAAATACCCAATACCATAAAGCATAACCTTGTACAATAATTTTTTTTGTTCAGACCCTGAACCTTGAATTTAGGTTCTATGAGCCTCTTATGCTTTAGTGCACATCTACCTTTAATAGAAAAGACTCATGGATGGCCAAGTTCAAATTTAATAGCTTAGAAAACAAGTACAATCACTAAATCTTACATCACCTAAAAGAAAATGGTTATATAACCAAAAAGAATACACTACCATAAGAAAATCATCATCATCATAATCATCCAAGCTCTATCACAACTATATCAGGCTGGCTACACAAATCATGTTTTGACATTCCATTCTGTTTAATTATAATATAATTGTTAAAGTATGAGTGCTTAAATCATTTGTTACTAATTCAAGCCCATGTCCTTTTGTCCATCCCTAGCCCTTCTAGGCCTTTCAGCATGCAACAGCTTACTTATTCCTAATGATATTATTCTTACACACGTTAACAACCACCAAATTTGACTTTATTTTTATTTTATTTTGTTCCTAAAAGAAGTCAAGACTTTATTTTATTTTGCTAAAGCTGCAAACGGATCAGATCAAATCAGATATAGGTAGATCCAAAATTAATTCATTTATATTCAAATTGAATTCAGATTATAGTTTGATATTCACTAATGTCAGCTTGGTATTGTATAATATAAAAAAAAATGAATAGAAAATTACTTGCATGAAACTTGAAACAATTAAAATTTAGTATATTACAACATACAGACTATGAAATTACCTTTACTAATAGATAGTCATACAACATAAATTTTAAGTATGAACATATATAAATCAAATCAAACCAGCTTTTATTAGATTAGAAAAGGGTGGATCCATATTTTATCCAATTATAAACAGAACAAATTCAGAACACTCTTAATGGGATTGAATTTGGATTCACATTGGAAAACCAGATGCTGTAAGCAACCATATCCTGCTCAACTGCATAACCGAGGAGGTGCTAATGATTTCTACAGAGAGAAGGATGTTCAATCACAAATAAAGACTAAATCAACCAACATGCACAAAGACACATAGAAAAAGAACAGCAAGGTTCCTAGAAAATTAAAAAGAATGATTGAAAAGGAAGCATAATCAAACAGAACTCAATCCTATAGGAAGTGAATCAAGGACGTTAGTAATTCATAACCATGAACATTTTTTCGGAATGTATTTCAGGTCCCACATCTGACATTCAAACTCATAGGATAGAACTCCAACAATTTGGCTACATATTTTTTTTTTATTACTTCAAATCGGTGGTTATAACTTATGGTCATAAAATGCTCTACAGGTAACAAGAGACAACTAAATTTTGAACTCCCACACAAACGAAAAGAGTTGTTTTGGCTACAACAGTAAAAGGATGTTAAATTGCAATTTGAAACTAAAGGCTAAATTAACTGCTCTTTGCATCCAACTATTAAAATCATAAGCGTAAAATAGACAATATATATAAAAGCATGCAAAGACAAATTGCTAAGATCAATATGTTAAATCTTTAAGAGCATTAGCATAAAAGAGAGAATATAAAAATGCAAAGATACAAAATAAGACCTTAAAATCATAGTAAGCCTATTAAAATCATAAGAAAATCTAGATGTTTTCTTCCTTCTCTAGTAATCGACTTAAGATTTTCACCTAAAGTCCTACACATAATGCAGTCTTCAATAAGATCTAACCATCATCTCTACAAATAATCAACATTTACGATTTGGCGATTTGACAAGAAAGCAAATAAGATTGCTCACAATCATACAAATATAAATTGCACACGCAGACAGAAAACAATCTGGTCTCCACACCGCCAATACTAAAACATCAAAGCATCAAAAGCAAGCGATACCGCTAATCCTAATCCTTACATTAAACAATTTAGAGCTTCCTGATAAACACCACCGGATCTACAAAACATTCGCTGAAATAATCGAATATTCTAAGAAAAAGACCAAATCGATTGAATAAAAAACAATAAAACAATGACAGCAGATCGAAACACAGCGTATCAATACCGGTCCGAAGAAATAACATAGACTAAAAGAAATCTCGGATTCTCGCCATAACATAGCAGAAACCAATCAGGAAGAGAACAATCAAAGAATAAATTACGGAGATCGAAATCGAGAAAAGATTGAAACGATTGGAACGGCACAGCGAGAAGCGAGAAGCGAGAAGCGAGAAGCGAGAAGCGAGAAGCGAGAAGCGAGAAGCGATACCTGGATGAGGTTGCTGAGAAACCCTAGCCTCTCCTTTGCTTGATAGAAGAGAAAACCAGGTGAGACGTATTTATAGTAGCAAGGAATCTTAGAGAGAGAAAGAGCGTTAGAGAGAGAGAGACAGCATCAAAAGGAAGCAAACCTTATGTGTAAAGGATTAGGGCAGACGCGTCCCAGTTTATTACTAACTTCTCTCTTTGCTTTGAAATATGCCCCGCCACTTTTTCAAAATTACCTCTACCATATCTCTTGTTCTTTAGGCGGTGAATTTTTCATATAATGACCATAATCGGATCGACCCGAATACGATCTAACCCACATCCGCACCATTTAAATGAGGAGAAAATAAGAGAACTAGCGACCGACCCCACATATAACTCGGTCAAGTTTTAAACCGATTTGGAGGCTGAATCATTTTTGTTTGTGGTTATTGGTTAGATCACATTATTATATCTTATATATAATGTATGTATATATAATATTCTTGTATATTTAATTTATATTTATATTTTTTATTCATAAAATGTTAAAATTTGGGATTTGAGAGTAAAAAATGATTTATTACCGTTAAGTCTATATTTTTTATTCATAAAATGTTAAAAATTGGGATTTGAGAGTAAAAAAGGATTTAAAGTTATAGCTTCTAAAAATTACCTTAATTGAATAATTGAATATAAAGTTATAGCTTCTAAAAATTTATTATGTAATTTGTGATTCAATAACTGACTTAATATGACTATGTTTGGCTTGAAGAAAAAGATAGAGAAAGGAATGGAAAGACAGAAAAATATATACAATGTTTGTAAAAATTTCCTTACCTTTCCTTACTTTTTCCTTCAAACCAAATATAGCCTAAATTATCAATAAGTTATGGTTGAACCGCATGATTGAAAGTTCTTTGGTCAAAAGCTGGTTTTACTAAAACCAGACCTAGAAACATGACCGGTGATTGTTCAAATACTTGGACCGCCGGTTCTAATGGTGGTTGAAAACAATGCAACCAAGTTCATATATACATACATATATACTTCAATGTTACATTGTTAGTGGGTTGGGTCTAAACCCGACCCAAGCCCGGTTATGACCTCAAAGGGCATTAAAGGAAATAAAAATAGACTTAACGGTAAATTTTTTACTCATTCAAAATTACGGAAACGACCTTCATTGATTTACGTAAAAAGCGCTTGGTGGCTTCACGACCAGCTGCTAATTCTTCCTAATGGCTGAAGCGGTTGTCTGACTTTTTCTTGATTAAAAAAAAGCGAGATGGGGAGATTTTTGTCAATTTATCAGATTTTATTTTGAAAATAAAGATGATTTTTTATATTTTATTTACAAACTACCCCTAAATTTTCTTGATATTGGTTGAAAAGCCACATTATTGGTGGGATCACTTTGATAACGCCATCTTTTTCTGAGAAGTAATGTAGGTCCACCGTGACATAAGGGAATGAGAGGAACACGTCCGTTTGAAGTTTGAACAATCATGTTCATCGTAATTTTGCGGTTTCTTCGTTACCGTAAATTGACAGAAATATCCCTTTTCGGTAAAGAGAGCCGGGCCCACTTGACAAATGGCAATGTACCGTCTGATCTATTTTATACCTTTTGGACGGACAGGAATGGAGCTAACTAATAAGGTTTTGTGAACTAACTAATGAGGTTCAATGTTGGTATAGAAGATTCTGTAATGTTAAGAGATTAATATATGATGGGACCCACTCTAGACGAAGCCAGGTGGGGCCCACTCCTTTGGATACCAGACAGACCTGGTTGTGTATGGTCAGTAGTTTTCTGTTTACAGTGTTGGTGGGCCAACCCACATTTATGCCTGACTGTGGGCTTTGTATGGGTTTGTTCGCCACTTGTGCACTTCCTAAGTTCCTATTAAAGCCCAGTAATTAGGTGGAATATGTTAGAAATTACAAAAATAAAATACGACAAAAAAACCAAGAGTATTTGCATGGGTGCACAGGATAATAATAGGGGTGCAAATCGGGCGGACCGGGTTTAAAATCAACCCAGGCCCAGCCCAAATTGAAAATTGACATATTTGGGTTGGGCTCGGGTTCGGTCTCGGCTCAAGTTGGTCAATTGCGCTTAAATGGGCTTGTTGGGTCTAATGTACTAAAAAGTTACGTAAGCCAATTTAGGATTATTTACTTAAATCTTTAAATTGGAATTATATATATATATATACACACACACTAGTAAACACCTACGTGCATTTTCACGTGATAGTATCTTTAAGACAGAGCTATCTATAATTCATGGACAGTTTTTGAACAGTTATAAGTGGGCAATTTCTAAAATGAGAGTAAATGACATATATGTCCTCTTTATACCCATTGTATGTTTAGACAAAGGGGATAGAAAACGTCCAATAAAATTTCCAGAAAGGAGGGTCGTTCGCTCTTTTATAGTTAGCATAGAACATAGAAATATGTATGTGCATAATTGAATTGCTCTCAGATTGAGTAGGGCTGCCAAGGGGTTGGACCCATTCCCTGCCCAAAAAATAAAAAGCCTGGGATTTTGAGCCCAGGCCCAGCCCAGAGATAAAAAATCCAAGCTCAGCTTGTCCAAAAATGTGGATTGGGTCGATCCCAGCTCAGATTGGGCCACCCAAATTGCACTCCTAGATAACAAAAAATAAAGATAAATGTAATATCTATCTATATATATAGCAAGACGACCCACGTCACCTTGCCTCTCCTTTCTCTATTACCCCAACCCTGCATTCTCCTTAACTCTCTCTCTCTCTCATCTCCACCTTCTCACCACTCCCAAATTGCCATCTCAGCACCATCTCTCTTCATTCCCTTCCCATTGAGTTCTCTCTCTCCCCCCACAACTCACATCTCTCACTTTCTATAACAACCCAATTTCTCTCCTTAATTAGCTCAATATATGTTTTATCCCCTCCTTCACTTCTACCTCTAATTCCCCTCTATTCTCTCCACTTTCCCATAAAAATAGGCCTTGATTTATTAAGATTTGGTTTTCCAAATCAAACAATATTTATAACTATAAGGAATTTGATGTTTCCTATATATCCATGACATCTTCCATTATTGTTAAATAATCTATTCTTAAATAATAATCTATTGTTAAAAGGTCCATTAGTTATGAAAACTATTAAAAATTTCTGGAAAAATATTCTACAAAAAATTATGAAATAATTATTTTAGAAATAATCCATTATTTAACAAATACTAAATAATTTAATAATATATCAAAATTTAATAAACAAACCATTATTTAATATTTTTTTGTTATTAATAAATTTTCAAAATTTCAACGTTTAGCGTACTTTACATTAATCATTGTAATTTAATAAATTTTCATTAACTTTTTACAATAATAATTTATTGATAAACGATATTACTAATTAGTGTAATTTATTAATTTCTATAAAATCAATAATTATAGTTAACAATTATCAAATAATTTAGGGAAACTCTTTAACTAATAATTCACAATCATTTTTAAATAAGTAATTAAAAATTAAGAAATTAGCCTTTAAAAAATCTTCTTCAAAACTGTTTAAGTAATAATCCATTTTATTATTATTCAACTAAATAATTATTAAAAACTTAGGAAATTAATCTATTAGAAATTGTTTCATAAATATTTAAATAACAATCCACTATTATGATTTCAATAAATAATTATTAAATAAATTAGGAAAATTATTAAGTCTATCCACACCGATCTAGACCACTTGGTTGACTTCACTCATACCTGGTTTTACATTAATTAACAACAAATGGTTTACTTTTAATTAAAAATAATGTAATTTACCATAATTACATTAGTTAATGTAATTCATATTAAATAATTTAGGTTTAAAAAGTAAATAATTTACACTAATATATTGATATAGAAAATAATTAATTTACTATATATTACTACTAATCAATGGCAATTAATTTCAATAATGTTTTTTTGGAAAGTATCATAAAATATTGTAATTTATTGTTATTTAATTTACTGTTAGTTAATTAGTTATAAAAAATTATTATAATTGTAGGGATGACAATTTTCCTTATAAAATTGGGGCCTTACCTTGCTCTGCCCTGTAGGGGGAAAGTTTTCTCAAATCTTAAACAGATGTGGCAAAGACAGGGTGGGGACAGGGAAAATATTTTTGCCCCAAATTAGAGATGGGGTTTGCATATAATTCCCTGAACCTAGTGGTTAATTAGTAACATATCCATAGATTTAATATTGATTTTTAAAATTTCTTTAATTTTTACTCATATTCTTATAATCCTAGGATCTCATAATTTCATTTATAAAATACCCCAAAATTGTCATAATCCAATTCCTAAAATACCCCCAACTTCCCATAATCCTATTTGTAAAATATTCATAAATTAAAATCTTTAGGTGGTTCTCTCAGGGTGGAAAAAATTTGGGGATTCCCCATCTCGACAAGATAGGTAATGAGTGCCTTGTCTCTAACCCACCTGCCACTAGGGTTGGGGTGAGGATGGAATAATGTTTTGACTTATGGGAGCGAGGGACAGGGAGGGGTGCCCATCCCGTGCATCGCACAACCCCCCACTAGTAAAAAAATATATTTAGACAATAGGACAAAATAGGTGGGAGAGAGAAAGTAGGAGAAACATGTTAAAGAATATTCAGAAGAAAAAATGTTGAGATTGATGAGAAAATTAGGAGTTTGTTGAGGGAAAGAGAGAAACACAAAATTCATTGGGCTCCATTTAGTCGCAATGTGAACTTCACTGTGTTTGGTTGCAATGCAAATGATTTGAGTGTAAATTCTGACATATTTTTGTTTCAAATTTGAGCTTATTTTGTTTGATTGAGGTACAAATGAAGTAATTTAAGACATGAAGCAGAGTAAAATAAAATCCAAAACAAAATTAAACAAGAATTTGCATTTTTTACATTTGCACTCCCATGCACTTGTACTAGTGCAAATAAATTTGCATTGCAACCAAACACAACCTCATTTACAGTTTTACACTAGTTTACCAAAAAACAAAAAGAATTTCATTTACACTAGTATAGGTGCAAATGAGTGCAAATGGATTGAGTGTAAATCTAGTCCAGACCTGCTCCTCACACTGACCCACAGGC